ATGTTAGTTTGAGGATCTAAAGGGAACCAAATTCAGAGTATATTTAGATATTTAAGCTATTTAAGTGTGATGTTGAAAGTCCAACAGCTGATGAGTAATGTTCTAATATTTGTTATTTAGTGGTAATTTTTAATACTTTTATAGGTTATTCAAAGGATCGTCATGAGGGTTTGATCATTAGCAGGGGATTATGCACAGTTAGGAAGGACAGAGGATAGAGGACAGGCAGGATCTGTATCTAGACCCTCTTAGACAGGTGCCTCTTGGATCACACCTTCTTTAAAAAAATGGCCAGTAATAATTATATGTGTAATGGCTTGATTTAATAGTGGATTGTTTTATTTTATTCTATTTTATTTTTTAGAAAATCCAATTTCCCACCACAGTCATGAAATAACAGTCATTATTAGTTTTTTATTTCTTATGTTTTTTATTTCTTTCATTTCTTTTGCATGGAGCTGACCTGTTTTCAGGTCAGCTCCATGCATTCTTAGTACATGCAGTAGTATGTGATATTAAAAATTCAATCAGAACAGAGGATACTGGATAGAAAGCTACAAAAAGCTTCAGAGGTACCGAGAAGGTTCGACATTTATAAATGTTTGACATTGAAGTTTACCACAAAGCTGAACAGGAATACAATGTTTAATACTATTAAACCTTCTGAATCTAAATGTTGAGTAAAAGCAGGGAAAGGTATGGGTGAGCCTACTGTTATAACTGTAAAAGAATAAAAGGAAATGGAGACAATATGATAAATTACCAAAGTGAAATGTCAGTTTATTTATTTTGCTGTGCTGACAAACAAAATATTAATTAGAAATGTCTTCTCTGCCTTGAAGCTCAACTAGATCAACTGACAACAGCAATGCTTCTGTGAAGAGTGATCTCAGTGGTGAGGATGACTCTTACAACATCATTAACACAGAAATCCTTCTTAAGTCAGCGCTGTCAACAGAAGAATATTTTAGAACACAGGATATTTGTACTTTATTCAACATACTACTGCTATTTTCTTTCCTCTGAGAAGGTATCACACTAAGAAAGAATGACATGTCATTGTATTTATTTACAAAACTCATATTTGTACATATTAGTACAACAATTCACGGTACATCTTTTTATATTTTTCTGTTTTTTCAGAGACCTCAAAGCAATGGACAAAGCTGGTGACACATCTGCGCAAAAGTCTTCTTAGAGAAAACACTTTGATTGAAAACATCAATTATCCTAACCAGAAAAACACAGAACACATCATAAGAGAAGACAGCACTGCAGAGAATAATGAACAGACTGGGGTGAAAGTGAAGACAATATCTGATGTATTTAAAGACAAGAATGGGAAGAAACCCAGAACTGTGCTGACTGTTGGAGAGGCTGATATCGGAAAATCCTTCCATGTACAAAAATATATAAAAGAGTGGGCGGAAAATACAAACCCTTCAATTTCAACTTGGCTTAAAACATCTTTAATTGGTAAAGGAAAAGGAAATGAACTAGGAATATTTCCACTCAAAGTCTCTAAACTTAATAAGATGAAAGATAAAATTAGCTTGGTGGGTCTTCTCAACCATTGCTTGAAGGAAACCAAAGACCTGGTCATCACTGAATTTTCACACTTCCCAGTTTGAATTATCTTGGATGGACTTGACCAATTTCAGCTCCCGCTAGACTTTGACAACAACACCACCTTGTCTGATATCAGTGAACCAGCCTCAGTGGACGTGCTGTTGACAAACCTCATCAAAGGGAACCTGCTTCCTTCAGCTCTAGTGTGGATAACGTCCCGACCTTCAGCTGCTAATCGGCTGAATGTTGAGAAATGTGTTGACAGGGTGACAGAGATACGAAGTAAGATTATTGTTACGGAGACTGTACCTTAAAATTAAATGCAACCAAGGGTCTTTATTGTATAATATCCAAAAGTGTTGATCTACCCCCAATTTCTTTATATGTCGTCATACATTTCTAGAAAAATGAGAAATAGCTGCACCAATTTATTAAAACATGAACAAACTGCATATTTCTACTTAATCTGCCACTCAGTGAAGGAGTCACACTATAGAAGAATAACATGTATTTGTATTTATTTATAACAGTCATATTACTACTATCATTGCTGTTAATTGAAATGTTGCAGTTGCTGAATATTACATTGTTCAGATTAATTCTTGGCTCTCTTTCATCCACAGTGAAAAATGCAGGAGAAATTCTGAAGTCTGCAATTCGGGAACAGTATAAAAAACAGAGAGAGGAAGAGATTGACACAGAACTCACAGAGGAAGAAAAAGAAGAACTAGTGCAACCCAACTACAAAAATATGTTTAATGTGCGAACAGTGCTCACAACAGGAATGGCTGGTGTTGGTAAAACATTTCAAACAAAGATGTTCATGATTAACTGGGCAAAAAGGAACACTAACAAAAACATAGACATTATAGTTTCATTCCAGTTCAGTGAGCTGAATAAAAGAAAAGACAAAGTTCAGAGTATGGAAAAACTGCTGAATGATTACTTCAGTGATATTAAACTACGAGGACATCTCCCCTATGACAAGTTTAAATTACTTTTTATTCTTGATGGCCTGGAAAAATGTACACTTCCTCTGGATTTTAAAAACAACAAGAGACTGACTGACATGAAGGCACAGGCCACGATGGATGAGCTGCTAACAAACCTAATCAAAGGGACTCTGCTTCCTTCTGCTCATCTCTGGATCATCTCTCGACCCTCAGGAGTTGATAAGATTCCTACTTGTTATATACAAAAAGTTACAAAATGTCAAGGTACTGAACAAAATGAAGCTTTAAAAGACAACACATTGGTTTCCTTATTTAAACAGACTTAAAAATACTAATAATTAATAATTAATGTTGTGCGTGGTACATTTATCTTTAAATTATTACATTTTTTTGTCTTTTTAGAGACCTCAAAGCGATGGACGAAGCTGGTGAAAAAACTGTGCATAAGACTTCGTACAGAAAACACGGTGAATGAAGACACTAATCATCCTAACCAGAAAACCACAGAACACATCGTGAGAGAAGACAGCACTGCAGAGGGCACTGATGAACAGAAAAGTAACCCGACTGTGGTGAAAGTGGATGCAACATCTGACATCTTTAAAGACAAGAATGAGAAGAAAATCAGGACAGTGCTGACTGTTGGAGAGGCTGATATCGGAAAATCGTTTCATGTACAGAAATTTATAAAAGAGTGGGCCAAAAATACAAATCCTTCATTCCTCACTAGGATTGCAGATATAGCAAAATCTTTAATTGGTAAAGCAAAAGGGAAAGAACTAGGAATATTTACACTCAATGACCTTAACCAGATTAAAGATATGAACTTTAGCATAGTGGGTCTTCTTAACCATTTCTTCAGTGAAACCAAAGAATTTGTAATTACTAATTTTTCACAATTCCCAGTTTTAATTATCTTGGATGGACTTGACAAATCTCAGCTTCCACTTGACTTTGACAACAACAACATCTTGTCTGATATCAGTGAGCCAGCCTCAGTGGATGTGCTGTTGACCAACCTCATCAAAGGGAACCTGCTTCCTTCAGCTGTAGTGTGGATAACGTCCCGACCTTCAGCTGGTGATCGGCTGAATGTTGAAAAAATTGTTGACAGGGTGACAGAAATACGAGGTAAGATTATCATTGCAGCAACTGCAATTAGATATAGTTGAGCATTTTTGTAGTACTTGTGCTAGTGTATTACACCAAAAAAGAGTCAAAATATTTAAAAAAAACTTTCATAAAAGACAAATATAGTAAATATTTATATGATAAATAATTTGTTATTGCTAAAAGGAAGATAAATGTACGCAGTGTATACTTGTGTAATTTCTGTTTCTAATGTTTTCTTACAGAGAAGCCTGATATTAGAAGCCAACGCAAACTCAAGTCTCAACTGAAGGAGCAGTTTACTCGTGTGTCTGAGGGCATCGACAGGCAAAAAACCTCTGCTGTCCTGAATGAGATCTACACAGAGCTCTACATCATAGAGAGGCAGAGTGAAGAAGTCAATGAGCACCAAGAGACCAGACAAGTTCAAAATGCAAAGTTCAAACCAGTTAAACAAGAAACAGCAATTAAATATAATGAGATCTTCACATCTGTAGAAAATAAACATATAAAAACTGTGATGACAATTGGAGTGGCAGGCATAGGAAAAACTATCGCATCAATGAAGTACATGCTGGACTGGGCTGATGGTAACGCGGTTCAAAACATTTATTTCATGTTTCCACTTCCTTTCCGAGAGCTTAATTTGAGAACAGAGAAACAACTCAGCTTTGAAAACCTTATTCATCAGTTCTTTCCAGCTATGAAGACCTCAGAAATAACCGACTATGACAAGTACAACATTCTGGTTGTTCTGGATGGCTTTGATGAATGTCGCCTTGATCTTGACTTCAGTGAAAGTAATAAATGCACCAATGTGAGAGAGCCAACATCAGTCAATATTCTGCTGACCAACCTCATCCAAGGAAATCTGCTTCCTAAAGCTCAGATCTGGATCACCTCCCGACCTGCAGCGTCGAACCGTATTCCTGCTGATAAAGTTGACCGGGTCACAGAGGTGCGAGGATTCAATGATGAGCAAAAAGAAGAGTACTTCAGGAAGAGGTTTAATGTGGATCTGGCTGAAAAAATCCTCACCCATGTGAAGAAATCAAGGAGCCTTTATATCATGTGTCACATACCAGTTTTCTGTTGGATCACTGCAAAGGTCCTGGAGGAATATGTGACCAAGAACCAAGATGATGAAATGCCCAAGACTCTAACTGACATGTACACATACTTTCTTTTGATTGAGTGCAGACAGGCTAACAGAAAGTATAATGAAGACAAGACAAGTGAAAGCTGTGAGATAGATAAATGCTGGAATGAAACAAACAAGGAAACCATTATATCTTTAGGCAAACTAGCTTTTGAGGAGCTTGTTAAAAGAAACTTTCTCTTTACTGAAAAAAACCTGACAGAGTGTGGTACTAACATCACAAAAGCCGCAGTTTTTTCTGGGATATTGACTCAGATCGAGAGAGAAGGTCCTTCAATGTACCCACAGAAACTGTTTTGCTTTGTCCATTTGAGCATTCAGGAGTTCATGGCAGCTTTCTATGTGTTTTACATCTTTAATAACAAAAGTGAAAATCTGCTTACCCCACCTCCTTCAGTGGTTTCAGATTTGCCAGCATCTGACTTCTACAAGAAGGCAGTGGACAAAGCTTTAGATAGTAAACATGGAGACTGGGATCTGTTTCTCCGCTTCCTGCTCGGCCTCTCACTGGAGACCAATCAGAATCATCTGAAAGAGCTGCTGATAGACAACAAAAAAAATGACAAGGAGACCAAAAAGGAGACAGCTGAGTACATCAAAAAGAAGATCAACGAAGACATCAGTGATGCAGATAAAAACCTCAATCTTTTTTACTGTTTGAATGAGCTTAATGATCACTCTCTTGTGAAAGACATCAAAGAGCAACTGCGATCAGGAAAACAGAATTTTGAAGATTACTCTGCTGGTCAGTGGTCTGCTCTGACGTTTGTGCTGTTGACGTCAGATGAGAAACTGGATGTGTTTGATCTGAAAAAGTATCGGAAATCAGAGAAAGTTCTTCTGGGAATGTTGCCAGTGGTCAAAATCTCAAAAACTACCTTGTAAGTACTTTTGAATAATTACTTTTGTAATTCAGTGTGCACAAAGTTTAACTATCTAAACAGCTTTCACAGAGAAGGAGAACTCCGGTGAGTTTAGTGGGAGATTCAGTCAATTCAGTGTCATTTATCAAGTTTGAATTTCAAACTTTCTGCTTTAACCTCCTAGGACCTGGCGTCCACATATGTGGACATCACATTTGGGTTGTCTAGACCAAAATACCTAAATTTACTCTACAAGGGCCTGATATCCACTTACAATGACATTATACTGCCACTGTTCTATCAAAATCTAAAACGAATGTCCTCATATGTTGATCTCATTTTTCTCAGAAACAAAAATTAGGTATAAATAAAAATCTGGTAATTCTTTGTCTTTACATTCATCAGGTCCCACTCAGCCCAAATAGCAAAGAAAAATTAAAAATGCATGCCATGAAAGAGTTCGGGTCTTAGGAGGTTAATTCAGAGGGTTTAAGAACAACTTGACATTCACTATTCAGTAGTTACAGATAACTTTGTGGAAAGTCACCTATTTTCAGAAACTTAAAAGTAATTGGATAATTGACTGACAAGCAGTTGCATGGTCAGGTGAGTCATGTTCCCTTGTTACTTCATAACAGTGGAAATGTGCCACTGGCATTTATTGATGATGTGGGCAGGGACAGCTCAGTAGGTAGAGTGGTCACCGAAGGTCAGGGGTTCAAATCCACTGAAGGGCTACCCTGAGGTAGCCTACCCCTGAGCAAGGTACCATCCCTACACACTGCTCCCTGGTGCGCCTGCTTACTGGGTGCCCACTGCTTCACTGAGTGAATGGGTCAAATGCAGAGA